TTCCTATATACCAGCAATCTTCACTCTGTCTGTGGTTCATCTGTCTTCACTCTGTCTGTGGTGTGTGGGTCATCATCCATTCCATAAGACTTTTAGAGTCAGCCCCATAGCTCTGTCTTCAACTAAACAGTTTTATTTATTAATAAAAATTTATTTACTTATTAATATTTATTTTAGAAAAGTATAAATGTATTTTTAATATATTTTTATTTATTTCAGAGAGGAAGGGATAGGGAAATAGAAACATCAATGATGAGAGATAATCCCACACTGGAGATTGAGCCTGCAACCCTGGTATGTGCCCTTGACTGGAATCAAACCCAGTCAAGGCCACATAGTCTGCAGACAGACACTCTATCCACTGAGCCAAACTATCTAGGGCAGAAAAGTCTAAATGTCTTTACATAAAGTCGTACTAGGCATTGGAGCAAAGGAACATGAACTAGGTAGGTTCTGATGGAAGATGAACTATAAAGCATTACAATAAGAGCACAATGTAAAAGGTTCAATTGCAAACCTAGTGTGAGTTTGAACGCCTTTCCTATTTCACACACATGTGTAGTGAATGACAGGTCTTAGGCAACTGGTTCTATTAACTCCTTTCCATTCATCAAATAAGCTATGATCCCACTCCATACTGTTACCTGACTTATTATGATAACACCTTTCTCCCACATTCCAAACTCTGTATATTCTTTCAAGGTTAAGTTGTACCTTCTTATGAAATACTTCCTCAGTGCCAATCTTCCTTGACAAGTGTTAATAATGCCTCCTAACAATATTTATGCAAAAGTTGTCCACCGGGCATTCTAGTTGTCTCTCTACATGCAAACATGTAATTTTCTGAAACTTGTGGGAAGTAGTAACGTCTCTAAATCCAAATGGATGTGACCAAGGAAGTAGATATTTATATTGCTACCCATGACCATAACCCTGGCTTAGGAAAGAAGCCAAAACCATGGACTGATGAGTGAACTGGAAGATCTTTTATGACTAAAGGAACCAACCCTGAGGCCTGCCTATGACCTCCCCAGTTATAAAAGTCAGCAAACACTCTTATTTTTAAGGTAGATGGCATTGCCTTACAAAGGTGAGGGTCAATGACAATTCAGTTCATCATGATTTTAAACACCAAAATTTGTTTTACAGATCCAGTTACACCAAGGAAGGCTTGAAAAATTGACATTTACTTTACAGCTAAAGGTCACTGGTACTCATTAAAAATACATAAAAATATTAACAATACTTAACGTTCAGAGCATTTTGATATGGCTAATAGTTGACATTAAAATTTAAAACTCAAACCAGCAACTAAGGCCAAAAAACATGCCTTTGACATTAAATGACTTAAAATGTAATTGGAATTTTACAGATAAGAATAACAGATATAAAGCATAACTAATAACTGGGAACAGAATTTATCAGTCATGGCAATCAGATACTTTTATAGAAGTTTACTGTGTTAGAAATGTAAGTGGGTCTTTAGTACATGCAGGTAAGAAAGAAAGAAGATTGCAAATAAGAGAGACAATGAGAATCTATAACATAACTCAGACTGTAAAGTTGGTGCTTTTGGTTTAAAGTTTGTAAATACCATTTCAACCTGAATTTCACATTTTTACACTTCCATTTTCTAGGAACATGGAGCAAAGCCATCTGCTCTCCATCTCATCTCTGTAAAAAAAAACTTCTTTGTCAATAAAGATCGGCTTCCGCAAGCTGAAGATGTTATCATTACTCAAAATGATCTCGAGCAATGCTAAAGTCATGACAAAGTAAATTCTATTTCGGTATACTTTTTTTTTTTTTCCTACCTCTAGCTGCGGGAACACAGATCAATACTCTTCAACCTGAGAATTTTGCAGTAAAATTTTCATTTATAACAAATAGTAACAAAAAAAGCCGTAAGCATGCCCTGTCACATTTAGTTTAGGAGAAAATGCACTAATAAACTCTTACCCTTGGGTCATCTTTGACAACAGGCAATACTATGCCAGTTCTTATTAAAGACTATTCATATCACTGTTCCCAAAATTTCCCTTAAAATTACCATCTTTTGTATCCATGTAACAGGATGTCAGTTTTGAAAGTGCCGATGAGAGACAGGACCTGTCACCATAGTTAATTCTCAGCACTATTTCAACACCAAGACAGCAGACCCCCAAAGCATGTGTTATTTTTTGTCCTTAGTATCAATATTTATTTGGTTATTTGGACAAACAAGAAAATGTATTGCTTCAAATTGGATTTCAAATACAACAGCAAGGAAAGTATCACCTGTAAATACTAGATATATAACAAAAAAGTATGTTCAAAAAAACCTAAAGCTGCCAGAACAAAATATCTTTCTAAAATGTTAGCAGACCGTAAGATAACACATTCAAAGCACCATATTTTAACATAACACGTAAAATACAAAATCAAAAGTGAAATGTATGTTACATGGCAGGACTCTCTTTTAAAAAACAAAAATAAAGGAAAGGGGGGAAACCATCATTTTCTAAGAAATTCATAATTCTCCACTTAGACATTTTATTGAAAAAAGTATTCATTCCTCAGGTAACACTCCTAAAATAGCTACAAAACAAAAACAAGCTTTCATAAAACCTACTTGTTGATTCAGATAAACAAGGAGTTTCTAGTAATGACAAAATAAATCTCTTAAAACAAACAATATATGAAAGAAGAAATTATATCTATAAAGGATGCTCCTGGATAAAACACGTCAACTTTGCTGCTATAAGCTGTTTAATACATCACGGGGCTATTTCCTCAGAAACACACACACACACACACACACACACAATAGTGAGGTACTGAAAAGCACTCTGGCTGTTCTATTAAGACCGCATCTCCGTCAGTGGCTGCATAATGAATGAACATTCACCGCCGTGCAGATACAGTGTAAGGAAGATGAAACAAGAGCACGCCCACCTCTCCACATCCCCAGCATATGAAACACTCTGAAGATTGCCCAGGTGTGCCCTCAGGCTTTCAACAGAATGTTTAGAAACATGAATTCATAGAACAGACAGACAATTGTCAGAGGGGATTTGATGAAAGAAAGTGAAGGGATTAACCAAAGAACATATATGCATAACCCATACACAGGGACAACAGCATGGTGATGGCCAAAGGAAAAGGGGGGCAGGACGAGGTGGGCAGAGAAAAGTAGGGATTAGGACAGCTGTAATAGTGTTAACAATCAAAATATAAAAGGGGGAAAAAATAAGCTTAGGTGGAACGGATGCTGAAATGAAGCTCAACAAAGATGATACGCAAGAATGAACAGAAGATAAACTGTCTTTCTACCTGAACCTGGAGTCAAATATTATCATATTTCCTTATTATTCAATGAATTGGGGCTTTGATTTCATAATCTTCAAGCAGGTGAGGTGAGCTGACTCTGGAGACATGAGAGAAGTTTCACTGAAAATAGAGTCCTATCAATCTATAAACTTTGTATTGATGACCTATAGGATCTGCCAAGGCCAAGGCATTATCAGAGGTGAATAGCATTACTTAATGATGTTAAAGAGCTAAAGCTGTGGTGGAAAATAATGTGCCCGGAACCAGGAATCTAAAAACATGGGATTAAATTCTGACAGACAATTATTAGATCATTATGGCTCTGGGCAATTACAAAATAGTCTGAGATGCATAATTTTCCTTCTCAAAGTATTAAAGGTTACAGTATTAAAATCAAGTAAATCTAAAATGAAATGATGTATGTGAAGACATTAGATGTCAAGCATGATAAAACATATTTGCTTGAAGACAGATGTAGTTCTCCCTTGCACCTCGGGGCTCTGACACAGGCCTTGCTCCCTGTCCAATGGCACTTCTCTCTCTTACCCCTGTCCCCACATCCTCATTCCTCACGTGGGTAGCTTTTCTCAACATCTCAACATTCGGATCCTATTTCAAAGAAACCTTATTGTATGAAGGCCTTCCCTGACACCTCTGATAAACCTCAGTCCGGTTTAGATGTTTTTGTTAGGATCTGGCAGACTTCTCCTTGACAAGACTTGCATAATTTATCATCATTTTCACTTGGGTCATTATTGATTGATGCTTGATAGCCTATTGAACAAAGCTGCATTTCCTCAAGTTTCACGTGACAAACATCCTCATTTTTTTTTTTTTTTTTTAAGATTTCAGCTCAGTTGTCACCTCTCAAAGAGGCCTTCCAGACCTCAAACAAAATAGAAATCCCTGTCATTTTCTACTTATTATTCCTCATCACACATGCCACCATACTAAAATTTCAGTATCTTTCTCTATAGTGTTCCTAACATTACTCAATGGGTAAGCTCCATATGGGCATGGACTTCATTTTTTATTTACAGTTGTATCTGTACAACTTATAACAGTATATGGGATAAAATAGACTAAGAATAAATATGATAACATATTATGTCCTTGTACTTATTTTTCTAGTATTCACCTCAGATATGTACTAATTGTCATAATCCCTCACAATTCCTCTAGTAACCTTGGTATTCAAAAATATTAATGAGGACCTCTTAGCAAGTCTAACGCTAAGATTCTACAGGGGTCAGAATTAATGAGCATCCACCACTGAGTTGTGACATGGGTAAAAATCACAGGTTTACATGGAGACAGGAACTTTGAGTTTGGCCTCGTTGCCACAATGCTTTGAAGAACAACTATAATATCCGCGTAGCTGTTTTAAAAAGGAAATATGAATCTGAAGTTAAAATGCAAACCAGGTGATGGCGACAAGAAGTCAAGTGTTTTATATGACCGGCTCTGAGATATCAAAGGAGATTCCAGCCCATGAAAAACACTTACTGAAATTATTGTCTGATAAAATGTACAACTTACAGTCTTAATTATCTGAAATTGCATAACAAGACAATTTTATAGGAACTTGAAATGAAGAGAAGTAGGTTTAAAAATCAATCCAATATTTACTATGTTGCTCTTGGTCTAATAAAACCATGCAAGTTCATGCAGTGAAAACAAGTTTACTTTACCTCTCACAATAAGTTGAGCAAAGTTGGACACACCAGAACCTAGTTCAGACTGAGTTACGCAGCGGTACAAATCCTGGTCGGTTTTCGTCACTTCTTGCAATCTAAAGGAAGCAGCAAATCGTCTGTGATTGATGTTCTTAGTCTGGGCTACTGGTATATCTTCTCCATTTCGTCTCTGCAAACAGAAACCAATCTTTAAAAAAACAGGTTCTTAACATTCCCATAAATTTAAAGCATCTTAGCAACCAATATCAGTGATAAATTATTCTTGTTCCTAAATTAGTAGGAAAATGTCTATGTAGCCCCAAGGAATTTTACCAGGTTTGATGACACAAAATCCAGCAGTATTTCTTCTAGACTGAACCAAAGCTGCTATTTTATTGGTATTATGTGTCCAGGCCCCCCCAAAAAAACTGTTTGCTGTTGAGCCTTAATAATGCATTGTACCAATGAGGACATATAATCTACTGTATTAGACATTGTTTTATTTACTCAACTTCCAGTAATGCATTACAGTCAAATATAACAATTAATGACATGTACATTTCAGAAGTCAAAAATAATCATGACTTTTTCTTTTATAATCCAAAATAAGAGATCCTTGCCGTACTATAATACAAGCTATCATTTCAGTTGAGTGGGCAATAAAAGCTGGGGTAAATCTCTCCTATGCAGTAATGTTTGCATATAGTTTTCTGCCTTTATTTTTCAGTTCCAGGCTCTTTATCCTGATTTGATATTTGATATAATTTTTCCGTTGCAAATAACCCTAACTCTGAGAAATAAATCACAAAAAGTATATGATCCAAGTATTACAACTTAGCACTGCATTTTTTGTTGTTTTTTTTTTTCTCTCTATTCTTTCCCCCAAAATCCCTAAGTATTATCGATTCTCCATTAAATCAACTAAGCTTCATCATTAAGGATGTATGCAGTGTTTACTTGACTAGTTCAGTTTCTGGCATATAGTAGGTTAGTGGTAATATTGGTTAATTCCCAACATATATTATAACCAGATTATTAATCAAACCCCTTGCAACTTACAGAGTAGCATTAGGATCCCCTGTCAGAGTTTTACAAATGCAAAGTCTACAGGTCACCCTAAACCTACTAAATCAAAATCTGCATTTTAACAAGATCCCTAGGTTATGCATCAAGATATGTCGAAGCAACATTTTACTGATGATTTTTTGGTTTTCAATTTGTCTTTCATTCAATTGATATGGTACCCATTTTCCTTCCTTTAAAATATTTCCCATTGCTTGTAAATGATCAGAAATTGTTTGCTGAGCAATGTTTAATCTTTCTGCAAGTTGTTTTTGAGTGTGACACTCATCTTCATCTAATAATGTTTATTATTGTTGGTCTTCAAACTTTTTAATTGACCTGGGTGCTCTTTGTCTTTCACATAGAAATAATCACTTTTAAAGCATTTAAATCAGCTTAAACCAGTGTTCATAAGTATCTTGAGATGGAACATGTTCACCATAAGCTTCCCAAAGTACTGAGCAGCACTTTTCTTCAAAATAAAGTAATGAATTAAAACTTACTGCAAATGCTCGTTTTTGGCATAAAATTTGCCATTTTTAAGAGTAAAAATATGACGTTAGCACCTTTAGCAAGATTGACATATGAAGATTTGAAGCTTGCTGCAAATATAACAAAATAGCATACATATCAAATTGCATATATATCAACATATGTGTAACTCCATCTATTGAAAAAAATCCACATTATCTGGTACACCTAGTAAATATATATTGTGACATAGTTATGCATTTCAGTTCTCTATTTTATGTTATGAAACTTTATTTGCTATTGTTTTATATCACTTCATATTATTATTTTTAAAAACTATTTTTTAGTGATTTATTCCTCGGTACTTCAACTATCTTTTTTGTTATTTTATTTTTCTCTTTCATGGATGCCATGTTCTTAGAAGCTTGTTTAGACCAAGTTAATGATGTTTTAGGTTCCCTCCATGTGAATAGGAGTTCACTTTGTGAATTATAAGAATTACTAGTGTATGTCACCGAGGGGTCATCAGGATTTTAGAGATGATTAGTGGGGCATGGCCAAAAACAAGTTGGAAACCACTGCCCTAGAATATTGATTGAAAACAATCACAAGAGTCTTATTCCCATCAACAGGGACAGGTATACAAATGGGTATGTGCCCTGATTCTGGCCAATAAGATTTGTCAGAAATAGGCCATCATTTCCAGATTTTCTTGCTTCTAGGGAAGTCACGATGGCTCTCCTTTTCGTTGTCTCGCCCTACCTAAATGCTAAGGAGGGCAGGTCAAGGCAAAAGACAGAAGCAGGATCTTGATAAAGCATCTGAAATGTTGTCAGCAAGTCCTTCTTTCTGGACTTCCTGTTAAGTGACATATGCATTTAAATTTCGATTACTTTAAGCTTAAACTCCTCAAAGTTAATATGGTAGTTAAAATTTGGTACAGTTTATTTCATCTTCTCTTTTCTAAGCTTGAGAAGTAAGTGCAATTTAATTGTAACTTAAATAATGTTGCACTTAGGACACTTTCAGAGATTATTTCACTCTACTGACTTGAAGGGGAAAAAATTAAATCACATTTATCATGTTAGTTATTTTTCACTGCTTTTCCTAAGCACATAATGATATGTAACTCCTACGTCCCTTAAGAGTGGGAGAGATTAGAAAGAGACTGTTCTGTATGATGGGTATTAAGGATCATGTTTTATAGCTTGATGAGGATGACATCTGATTTGTCAGTACTTGTCATTTTCCTCCCAAAAAAATGAATCCCAAAGTGAATTTGTACACTATAATTACATGAGATTGAAGTGAATCATACAACAATCCAGCCATATTAAACCCAAGGACATGAGGTTCCTTACCAGGGCTTGTCTGCCACATGCATTTTTTTCCTCTGTCACAGAGATAACATAGCGATCATCATCATCATTATTGAACAATTAAATTGAAGCGTTTTAGATACATGTAAGGTTGTCATGGCAAACTTAAAGGCTTAGAAGATTATATTATTTATGGGGGGAAAAACACACTCATTTATACCTGCTAGAAGTTATATTTATTTCAAAAGATTAAGCACTGAATAAGAAAATAGCATTCCTCTAGGAATCATTAGACTAAACTGATAATTGTAAGTTCACCAAAGTAGTTACTAAAGATTAATGCCTTTTCCATCTTAACGAAGCCCTTGTCACGCCGTGTGGCCACACCATCTGCAGTTTAAGTTGAGACTGCAAAAGCAGCATGCATTTCTTTGCCCTTCTTCACGATTTCATGGACAGAAGATTGAGTTTTAGCATGCATGAATCTTAGCAACCTCAGCATGTAATTTTTTTTCTTTCCTTGTAAGATCCAAAATGTTCATCTTTTCACTTAAAGCAAGAACTTTATATATCCCTTTAGCATATCTGAAGCATCACTATTCTTGCACTTTGAGGCCATTAAGTAAAATAAGGGTTAACTGAACACAAGCATTGCAATACCACTAAAGTCAATCTGGTAACTGAGACTGTTATTAAGGCCTAATGGGTGGGTAGCATAGGCAGCGTGGATATGTTCAAATCCTGAGCAGGATGGAGAAGGCTGGTCCAAGATTTCATAATGCTGCTTAGAGTGTCATACAATTTGGAGATATAAAACCCATTTTATATCTCCAAACCTCAGGTGAACCTTGGGTAACTGAAATTATAGAAAGCGAATCTGTGAATAAAGAAGGACTACTCTACTTCTCATATTTCTATATTTTCTTCTAAAAATGGGAACAGCAATTTGTACCTGCTTATTTAACAGAGATGTTGAGAATCATAGGTGATTTGTGCAAAAGCCCTAACAGCAAATCCTAGTAATAATGATGTTATAAAGATAATAATTAAAATATCTAAATCATTAATGCATCTGATAACTGTGGTGGCCTTTTGATGTATGAACTTGGCTAGGCTACAGTCCCGTTAGTCAATCAAACACTAACCTAAGTGTCTCTGTGAAGGTATTTTGAAGATGGGATTAAAGTCCATAACCAATTGATATTAAGTAAAGGTAATTATCCTTAAAGGAGAGTATGAGTATTCTGAGTAGACTTGATTCCATCAGCTGTAAGTCTGAAGAGTAGAGCTGTGGCTTCCCTGCAGTAGGAGAAATTTAATCTGTGAATAGCAACTCTAGACTGTGCCTGGATACTGCAGCCTGCCCTCTGCACCCCCTGCAATCACACCAAGCGCCACCTCCAGCAAGGCTAAAGGGGGACTACTATACTAGACATGGCTTGGGAACTTGTTGCCAATTTTGCAGAAAACTGAGAAGAACGTGAACTGAAAACAATCAATACAATGCAGACTTTGCAGGGCCCCGACAGATATATCGTGAGGAAGAGAAATGGATGGAGGACAAACTCACAGATTAAAGGAGACTTTTAACATATTTTTTAAAGTAGACAAGACTAATAATCTACAGCGTCTATGGATGTATATGTAAGTTGAAAAGAACAATGAAATAACAAACAAGGGCTAAAGTTCACGCTAACTGTTCTCTATAGGGGTAGAGAGATGAGTCTGTTGTGACTGGGATGCAGAACTTAGAAGCCTCTCAGAGACTGGCTGAGGCCCTTTCCTCACCTGTGTGGTGTGCATCTCATAAAAGGTTGTTGAATCATGGGTTTTATTTTTGTGTAGTTTTCTAAATCTATGCTTTATTGTATAATAAAACGATTTTATAAAGGAGAGTTATTTACATTAAGCCCCTGTTCATAAAGAAACCCAGCCTAGCCCGCTGCCAGAGCCCCATGTGGTAGAACTGATCATAGTGGGAAGTTGTGAAGTGCTTGACATGGCACCTTGAAACCGAAAGGCAGCTCTAGGAACTGTAGGAGAGTGCATTCTTTTTACAGAAAAAGCAGTAAAATGTAACTTATAGACATCAGTAAGAAGAAATCCTTGAGCTTCTATGACTTGCCTGGCTTTTACAGTATGCTCCAGGGATAGATAAGAAAGATAAAGAATATTCCCACATTATTCATTTATAATCAATTATGTAATCTGTATGCAACAAACTCGGAGTTTATAAATTATTGAAAAAGGAAAAGAATGCACTATGCGTTTAAAGCAATGAACTCTATACATTAAAAAGCCACATAAAGTCAACCAAAATGACATCAAGGACACTCAG